TCTCTCACACCTAGATATACGCTGGGTAAAATAATACACCTGAAGTAACTGGACAGTTGAGTTGACCCCCCCCCCCCTTTAGTATATTTGGGAAAATGTGTACTGAGGTACCCAAAGTACCATGCCGCCAGAGCAGCGGGTGGGGTGACCAAAGACAACAAAATAACTTTCTTTGCACTTTGATAGACTAATGTTTTTTTTTAAAAATCTACTACAGAAGTGATTGTTCTACAGTAACTAACACACACTATTGCATAGTCAATACAATAAGCAAACCTTCAAACCTCTTCCATGACTTATTGCCCCTATTTAAACAGTCTAATAATTTAATAGGTTTGTACTAAGCACATTAAAAAGCAATTTCTTCTCTTAATTATTATTAAATTAAAATTTACTAAAAAATGACACAGTGTAAAAAGAAATGTTCAAAATTTTTAATACAAATGCAGAAAAACACAAGAATAAAAAAATAATTTAATAATTTATTTAGGTTTGGCCTATCCGTAGATTTAGAATATCTACATCTAGGCTACATAAATTTAGAAGAACTGCCCAGCGTATCCTATTGAAAATTGTATTTGAACCTAATAAAATTAGCAAAACAGACGTATCGTTAAAGCTCACTTTGTTGTAAAAAAAATAAATGAACCATATGACATCACTATAAATAATGTAATTGTTTTTAACTTTTATTAAAGTGGTGTTTCTAACAATGAATATATAAAAAAATTAATTAACGTCTTCAAATGAATTTGGCTGCCTTTTCTGCAACCACAAAAGTTTAGTTCTAGTTTCTCAGTAAATAAAACCTTTTTTTTTACTATGAGTTCAAAAACTGATATCCTACTAAAACTTGTTAAAGTAACATGAAAATTGTCATGCCAAAAAAATTAAATCAGGATGGGCAAAAAAGAAAATTCAAATACCTTCAGCTTGGATAAGGTTTATTATTTTATTTACCATTTGCACCAACAATGACACAAAATGTTCTCAACTCCTTTACACCAAACCTTTCACTACCCCATTTCCTTTTGGTTTAGATAGGTGTACACACAACACTACACATCATGATGGGCACACCTACACACCGGCTGTTGTTAGATCCAACACTTAGAACCAGTTGCTTTATAAAAGCCTTGATAGACCCAACAGTTATAACCAGTTGTTTTATGTAAGTCTTGTTAGACCCAACAGTTATAACCAGTTGTTTTATGTAAGCCTTGTTAGACCCAACAGTTATAACCAGTTGTTTTATGTAAGTCTTGTTAGATCCAACAGTTATAACCAGTTGTTTTATGTAAGTCTTGTTAGATCCAACAGTTATAACCAGTTGCTTTATGAAAGCCTTGATGGACTTGAATTACTCTCCAGAGCTTGACTGAACAACTGAGATGCTGCTATCTGTGCTAAAGATTTCTGAATTTTTTGCAGTAACTCTTCTCCTTCAGCCACAATTTCTTCCAATTTTTGAGCCTCTTCTTGGTTCTCCAGCTCCAACTTTTGCAAACTGGCAACCTGAAATCAAATGAAATCACATCAGTAGTTTACATATGCAGGACACCTGAAATCACATCAGTAGTTTACATATGCAGGACACCTGAAATCAAATGAAATCAAGCATAGTGCAAGTAATAAACCTGATTGGATTGTGGCTAGCTAGATTATTGCTTGGTTAAAAAAGACTTTCCCTAACTCTGGTGTAGTCTAACAAAAGTTATATCGTCAGTTTCAAAAGGATAAAGTATAACAAAGGCATGCTGACTAGTGAAAGATGAAGTCTAACAAAGGAAGGCATGCTGACTAGTGCTAGATTAAGGCTAACAAAGGCATGCTGACTAGTGCTAGATTAAGGCTAACAAAGGCATGCTGACTAGTGCTAGATTAAGGCTAACAAAGGCATGCTGACTAGTGCTAGATAAAGTCTAACAAAGGCATTCTGACTAGTGCTAGATTAAGGCTAACAAAGGCATGCTGACTAGTGCTAGATTAAGGCTAACAAAGGCATGCTGACTAGTGCTAGATTAAGGCTAACAAAGGCATGCTGACTAGTGCTAGATTAAGGCTAACAAAGGCATGCTGACTAGTGCTAGATTAAGGCTAACAAAGACATGCTGACTAGTGCTAGATTAAGGCTAACAAAGGCATGCTGACTAGTGCTAGATAAAGTCTAACAAAGGCATGCTGACTAGTGCTAGATAAAGTCTAACAAAGGCATGCTGACTAGTGCTAGATACAGTCTAACAAAGGCATGCTGACTAGTGAAAGATAAAGTCTAACAAAGGCATGCTGACTAGTGAAAGATAAAGTATAACAAAGGCATGCTGACTAGTGAAAGATAAAGTATAACAAAGGAAGGCATGCTGACTAGTGAAAGATAAAGTCTAACAAAGGAAGGCATGCTGACTAGTGCTAGATAAAGTATAACAAAGGCATGCTGACTAGTGCTAGATTAAGTCTAACAAAGGAAGGCATGCTGACTAGTGAAAGATAAAGTCTAACAAAGGCATGCTGACTAGTGAAAGATAAAGTATAACAAAGGCATGCTGACTAGTGCTAGATAAAGTCTAACAAAGGCATGCTGACTAGTGCTAGATTAAGTCTAACAAAGGAAGGCATGCTGACTAGTGAAAGATAAAGTATAACAAAGGCATGCTGACTAGTGCTAGATAAAGTCTAACAAAGGCATGCTGACTAGTGAAAGATAAAGTATAACAAAGGCATGCTGACTAGTGCTAGATAAAGTATAACAAAGGCATGCTGACTAGTGCTAGATACAGTCTAACAAAGGCATGCTGACTAGTGAAAGATAAAGTCTAACAAAGGCATGCTGACTAGTGAAAGATAAAGTATAACAAAGGCATGCTGACTAGTGAAAGATAAAGTATAACAAAGGAAGGCATGCTGACTAGTGAAAGATAAAGTCTAACAAAGGCATGCTGACTAGTGAAAGATAAAGTCTAACAAAGGCATGCTGACTAGTGCTAGATTAAGGCTAACAAAGGCATGCTGACTAGTGAAAGATAAAGTCTAACAAAGGAAGGCATGCTGACTAGTGAAAGATAAAGTATAACAAAGGCATGCTGACTAGTGAAAGATAAAGTATAACAAAGGCATGCTGACTAGTGAAAGATAAAGTGTACAAGCACAAAACATATGTAACACAATCACCTAAATATCAGACAGACACACACAAACATTTGTAACACTACTTATGATGTGCAAGCTAGTATATTAAAGTAGGTGTTTAGTAAGAAGTTCACTAAGGTTTAGTCATGGAAGGCATGTATGAAACCTTAGTGTATAAATATAACAGCTGCAGATGACATTAACAGAATAAATAACTGACCTGCAGTTCTGTAGAAGAATCTTCACTCGGTAAGTTGTCTATGAGAACATCTATGTCCTTGGCAGTTCTTGTGATCAGTTTTGCAAACAGAGCTGCATAATCTACAATCAAGGGTAAAAATATTTTAAAAATATGTGTGGGAACAATGTGATTCTCCTAAAAAATAAATATGTGATTTTCAAAAGAAAAAAAAATGCCTTCTGGTAAAAAGAACTACCTTCTTGGGGGGGTGGTGATGATGGTTTGCATCCTGGCTTTTCAAACCCAGGAAATGGACTACTTGGTGCATACTGCTGTAGTATTCCTATACTATTGTAGAAATGTTCAGCTTGCTAGTGATTGAAATAGTAGAAATGTGAAAGACAACTCTATATTTACTTTTAAAAAGTCATCATATTAGAAAAACTAATGGCTGTTTTTTAAAAATAGCGAGCCGGCCCGCGGCATAACATACGCCGCTATTTAGTTGTTGTTTTTTCTACTTTACAGTAATTCATAATTTGTGAATTCGACAGTACCAATGCTGACACTGAAAATATTTCTTTCAAACACTATAAGTAGCTCGTTAAGGACCATAACCCCCCCCCCCCCCCCCAACGTTTAAAATCGTTTCAAACTAAATTATCTGCCCCTAATAGCCGTCACTAAACCCGACTCCACGAAGGTAAACATAGCGTGAACCACAGCTCACTAAGACCATGTAGGGGTGGGGATGGTAGGGAGATATATATATAGATACATATATATATATATATATTTATATATACAGATACATATATAGGCCTATATATTATATATATATATATATATATATATATATATATATATGGGGGGGGGGGCCGAAAAAACTTTTTGCGGGTGGCCCTTTTTTTCTAGTTCTGCCACTGGTTTTGTGTTTATTTCAAGATGTAAGTACTTCGATGTTAAATTCAAATTGGGTCTGTATACAACAAGTATTAATATTATACATACACTCATCAGAGGCATAGCAAGGGGCGGCGGACCGCACTGGGTGGAACAATTTAGGAGGTGGACATCAACTAGGCGAAAATAGCAATATATATATATATATTAAAGAAACTATCATTCCAGTTAAATAAATTATTTTTATTGAGAAAAATTGACAAATCCTGACAGGGGATGTAAGCTTCGTATGTTTGGCCTATATAAGTTAAAGTTAAGAGTCACGGTTTTATTATATTTTTATTCCTACATGTTATTTATGGCATGATTTCAATCTTCAATTCAATAGGTGTAAAAAAGAACTATCAGAAGCTAGCTTGTCCATAGAGAGGTGGGGCGTGGTGCGGCCCGCACCAGGTGACACCATGACAAAAAATAGCTAAATACATAGAATAAATATTCTCTTTGGCAGTTAAATAAATGGTTAATTAGAGAAAGTATTCTACGTACAAACTGACAATACCGACAAAGGAGGGGTGTGTGTGTGTGACACCATGACCTAGACTAAATATCTGTAGTAATAACTGTGAACACTTTAAAACTATCACCAACGGGAGGGGGGATGACACCAACTTCAAAATTTATAGGTGGATTAAAATAATGTGTGCATACATTGACATCATTTGGCGAAATCGGAGGGAGGTGTCACCAATTGCAACTATCTATATACATAATTCTCTTCTTGAATACCCTAGAAAACACCAAGCTTTAAGCGCGCCTAGCAGCCGCCTCTCTTCCTCTCTAGGCACGTCGCTAACACCCCCACCCCCACATGGTCTGGAGAGCTGTGGGTCACGCTAAATATTTACAATAGGAGAGCCGGGTTTAGTGACGGCTATTAGGGGCAGATAATTTAGTTTGAAACGATTTTAAACTTAGGGGAGGTAACTAAGAGGAGGCTGCTTTCACGGGGGGGGGGGGGGGGTGGGGGTTAGAGGAAAGGAGGGGGGGGGGGGATTGTCCTTAACGAGCAAATATTTTCAGTGGCAGCATTAGTACTGTTGAATTCACAAATTATGAATTACTGAAAAGTAGAAAATAAAACACTAAATAGCGCCGTATGATACGCCGTGGGTCGGCTCGTATATAAATATATCCACGAAACTGTCAATAACAGTATAAGGATCTTCAATTCCAAAGAGTTCAAGTTTTTTAATGTATTTTCCTTTTCCGCAGGTGCGGTTACAGTGAACGCGTCCAGCGCTGGGTGCTGAACAGCTGATTGTGTTTATGTTGGGTGTACACCACCGTGGCGGCGGACTTAGGTATCACGTGATTTAGGTCACGTGTTTGCAAGGACTCTATTCTATTGGCTGGTCCCAATAGCGGCCGAGGCTATTAGGACCCGGGTCCCAATAGCGGCCGTGGCTATTGGGACCCTGGTCCGAATAGAATAGAAATAGATTGATACAGTAAAACTCCATTTTAGCGTATTTTATTCCCCGCTTCACGTTCACCTCCAGTTGAGCGCATTTTATTATAAACACAACCGAAACACACAAAAACGTTAGGAAAACACTAATTCTACTTATTTTTTTAATGAATGTGATTTTTAATTAGAAAAGGTAAAAAACATAAAAAAGCATTAGAACTGTTCCAATTAAATATTGTGTGATCATCAGCAGGAGAAAAATCCTTACTTGGTCGTGGGTTCACCGTGAGTTCACATTGACTTTAATCATCAGCATACGTCATAGCTCGGGAAATCGCTGTTTGAAATTGTGTTGGCCTCAGTTTTGGCGTCATTGTAATTTCATAAATTTGTATTTATAGTATCATGCCTGGGAGATACTTGTAACAATACAAACTTAACCGCCTAGCAATTGTGAGTTACGTTTACATACTTCACCCATTGCCATGAAAATTCTGACACACGAACATAGATCTAGCACATTCAATATTCCAAATTTGGATTTTTCTCAAGTTTTGATAAAAGTATATATTATAATATAGATCTAGATCTATATTATCAAAATCACAAAATCTAAAACAAAGTCAGTCTCTTTTTTTTTTTCATTTTTATTCATTTGTTAAAACAAAAATACAATACAAATAAATAAATCGTGTTTTCCTAATGTCTTGGTGTGTTTCGGTTATTATAATAAAATACACTTAACTGGAGGTAAACAAGAAACGGAGAATAAATATTAGTTTATATATTAGTAATAGTATTATTAGGAGTATTAGGCTTAGGCCTACCGTACCGAATCACTACCGAATGATTTGATAGATCTAGAATCTAGATCTAGCTAGAATCTAGCTAGATGCATCCAATTTTGTAATAATAAAACACGCTAAACTGGGGGTGAACGTGAAGCGGGGAATAAATTCGCTAAAATAGAGTTTTACCAGAATCCAATCTAGGTCCACCCTCAGAATTCTCAAAACAAGACTTTTTAATTTAAAAAAAAGTGTACTTGTGTTACACAATCTTGCAACTGTGTTAGTCGGTCGGCCATATTGTCTAACCGAGCGTCTTGTGACACCGCGTTTACACTTACGACATGTATACAATAGAACACAAAACCCACCAAAAGTTATTTTTATCTGGCAAACATTTTGTTCACAGAACATGTAGGCCTATACTTCAACGTCCATACTTAAAGAGCATGTTATAGAACATTTTTTAAAACAAACCTGACCTTTGACCTGGAGCATCTGCTCTATAAGGCGCCTAGATAATTAAAAGAAACAGTAATCAAAGTAAAAAAAATAATAAAACAACGTAGATATAATGGTCACGCAGATTTTTTTTTAATTTATAGGAAAAGGTATAGCCATGGTGCCTACAATGCAGAAATAAAGTATTTAAAAGTTAGAGAACATGCAACATTTAAGAAATTTTATTGAGGTGTCAGCAACTGAGCTAGAAATAATCTTAGTTCTGTATAATAGACATTACACATCTGCTACTACCTCACTCCCATCCCGCAGTGCAATCACCCCCTTCCCTCCACACCCCAACCCCATGGTCGTCATTTCCCCATCTTGCTGTCACTTTACGATACTTTGTAACTGGAGAAAAGTTTAGCTTTCTGATGTACCTTCTCATAATTTCCTAATTAAAAAGTTAAAAATAACAACATCATTCACTACTTGGCTGGAGAGGAATGTTTTGTTGCAATCCTTTTTATTTGCATTTTTAAAAGTCATATTGGTTTAGAACTTATGCCGCTTCATTGCTTGTTTATATCCTTCAGAAAAAGCTTGTATGATTTAAATGAATAGGGCTAAACATTTTCCTTCCAAAAATGTGCATTTGCCAAGTCCATTACAAATATTGAGATCGAGTTATAACTATACTCACTACTGAGACTCTGTTTTAAACCTAATCAATTAGTCTACCACTTGTTATCTGCCTGTTTTTATAGTCGGCACTATAGTGTGATTAAACAAGCACTTCTGATAGGCCTATAGATTTATTTCTCTATCAGTCAGACACTGAAAATATGTGGATACACTTCAAGCAATGGATGAAGGAAAACTGAAGAATAACTTTCAACAATAAGTTTGGTTAATATATTTTTATAGTTAGGGCCTAACTATTATTTCTTCAATTACAAACTAGACTGGTTTCATTTAAACGTGTTTGGGATTTAATTAAAGAAATAATAAGTAATTATTAAAAGTGTAATTTTTTAGTAGGGCCTATATAGAAGCTATAAATTTTAAATGTGTGTGCTCAAAACACTCTAGATCAGTATATAAATACTAGAAAAATGGCCCGTTGAGGAAGGATACAACGGGCGCTAGTTTGACAGTGCTGTCTATTTTCTCGGTACTTTAATTTATACAAAATATAGTCATAGGCATATCCCTAAACCATGCACCTAATCTCATTCATGACAAAAGTTGCATTTAGAGTTTCTTTCAGGCAACTCTACTTGGGAGGAGGGGGCTTTGCCTCTCTCCCCCTCCCCCCCCCCCCACACACTCCAAAACATGTCTACCGTCCCATTCAACGAAATATAATTATATACTTTTTCCAGTGTCCGCCCCCTCCCAGAAAATTCTACCCCCGCCCCCGAAAATTTCAAGTACCCCCACCCCTCTCCGGGGAGGAAAAAGTCTGAAAGAAACACTGGTCGCATTTGTAGATCATACAAACTAAAGGAAGAACCTGGGCGGGGCTTCGCCCCTACCGGAAGAGATGCATGAAAAAAACTGCACGCTAAACACTTTTTTTAGATTAGAAAAATTCCTCCCTCCGGGGAGGAAAATGTCTGAAAGAAACACTGGTGTCGCGCTTAGCCACTACCCGAAGAATTGTATGAAACTCTGCACGCATACCACTTTTTAGATTAGACACATAAATTAGGCGGTAATTTTATTATAGAGTATCGATGAAGAAATTTCTTTTGAGTTGGGGAGGGGGAGGGGGCTTAGACGTCCTTACGCAGGAGTGGGGCTTCGCCCCTACCCGAAGAATTGTATGAAAGAAACTCTTCACGCAAACCACTTAGATTAGACAAAATTGGCTTTTTAAATTCAATGTTTACTCGAGAATCAATGACGTCATATTACTGTGTGCACTCTCCGGCTTGATACTATTTTCTTCTATATGCTAAATGTGACGTCATATTTCGTTTCCGTTACTATGCATGTTTTTAAATTGCTTGTGTTTTCTCTAGATGTATCTTGTCAGATACATAGATAGATACACAGACAGCGAAACTATTATATAGAATAAGTTACATTTTGACTTTGCAATCAGCTGAGAGGATGCGCTTACTACGCATAGACGCATGCGCACTAATCTGAAAATTCAGAACATGTTTTATTGTTAGCGAAAACAAAAACTTGGCCCATAACAAAAAAGGGGAGTGGTTTTGTGCCTTGCGACTCTGAAGATGTTCCATGTACACACAACATGTTTAGTAGACACTTAAGTAGGTCAAGTCTAGTATACATATCGTAAGTGTAAACGCGGTGTGAGACATCTAGGCCTAAATGATGAAATTAGAATCGGAAAATTTGAAAAGGTCGATTAAATTATTTAGATTCTAGAATCTAGATGTAAATATTTTTAAAACATTGTGAGGTGTTACTAAAAATTTTTTTTCATAAAAACGTTTTAATAACAAGCTTTTATGTATTAATGCACTAAAAAGTAGAAAATAAATTAAAGACTACTATTTAAATAACTATAAAGAAAAACGTGGGCCACTTTAGTATCTATTGGATACCTTTACTAATATTTAGGAAGAGACCCATGTTTTTATTTAGGCCTACAATAGAGTTTCATGACTAAAAACCATTGCGCGCATACTGAACGTGATAGCGCAGCTATTGAACGTGATGACGCGTGTGGTGTGGTTGGATAGACATGCCTACTAATTCGTTCCAAATTTTTATTAATTCATAAAGAATTAATTAGACATCCAATTAAGTCAAATTTAATTTCAGATTGCAATGTCTTCATGTCTTGACCCACGTGCCAAATGTGAATCGTATCGGTCAAGTTGAAGTGTCAGAATTTTCACTTCGGAGTTTCGATCTAGACAGACTGACGACAGAGGAAGCGAGTTAAATAAAAGTTTGTAATAATAACGTTTTAATAACAAGCTTTTATGTAATAATGCACTAAAAAGTAGAAAATAAATTATACACTACTATTTAAATTACTATAAAGAAAAGCGTGGGTCACTTTAGTATCTATTGGATACCTATACTAATATTTGAGAAGAAACCCACGCTTTTCTTTATAGTAATTTAAATAGTTGTGTATAATTTATTTTCTACTTTTTAGTGCATTATTACATAAAAGCTTGTTATTAAAACGTTTTTTATGATTTTTTTTTCAGTACTCTACATTTTTTTTATTTACAATAGAGTTACCTGACTAAAAACCATTGCGCGCCCACTGAACGTGATGGCGCAGCCATTGAACGTGATGGCGCAGCCATTGAACGTGATGGCGCAGCTATTGAACGTGATGACGCGTGTGGTGTGGTGGATAAACATGCCTACTGATTCGGTCCAAATTTTAATTAATTCATACAAAATTAATTAGGCATCCAATTAAGTCAAATTTAATTTCAGATTGCATTGTCTTCATGTCTTGACCCACGTGCCAAATGTGAATCGCATCGGTTAAGTAGAACTGTCCGAATTTCCACTCCTGCGTTTCGGTCTAGACAGACTGACGACTGACGACTGACGAGGAAGTGAGTTAAATAAAAGCTTGTAAAAAGCTTGTAAAAATGGCTCAATTGTAATCATGGATGGATGGAATTTCGGTGAGGACAGAGAGTTGAGAGGGTGTGTATGTTTGTGGCGGTGGGGTAGAGAGTTTTTAGAGATGCGTTTAAATTTGAGGATGCCGGTTGCCAATCTCACAAAAGAGTCAATGTTCAAGTTTATTTTTAGACTAATTCTCTCAACGGCTTGCCCGACAATGCAACAATGCCTATAGTGTTATTAATACCGATGGGCCTTGTACAACTCCCCCCCCCTCCCCAGTAAGAAAGGTTTGATGAGGGGGGGGTCTTTTTGGGATTTTTAAAATTACTTCTACAGTAGAAAAGAAACTGGATTTTATAATACAAATATTAACATTCCAATGTAAAAGTTTTAAAAATTTAAAGAGGGAAAAAGGGCCCCTATTTGCCTTGGATCCCTATAACTTGCTTACGCTAGCTTTATGGTAGCTACGCCACTGCGTTACAGTTAGGTTGATGAAATTTTAATATTCAAGTATTATATCAAACTTGTAGTTCTGTATCAACTTTTCAACGATTTCGGGTAACCGGAAGTGGAGCTTACATTCTACATTTGGTTTTTCAAACGCCTATAACTTGACTACTATTTCAGATAGATAAACGAAATTGCAAAAATGAGTAAAATATCTAATTCTCTGCTTATATCAAATTTTGAGTAGGCCTAATTTGCGTTGATCGGAAGTAGTAATTTGCGCATGTGAGTTTATAAAGTACTAATAATATTCCGCACTATTATATTTATACACAGATTGTTTGGTGTTCACTTGGTGCGCAGTTTTTTTTTTCTACGAAATTCTATTCTATTTTATTTTTAAAAAGTTTAAGTAAATAAAAAAGCATGTCTATATCCCGAGTTGCCTTTCCCCAGTTGGGTTATATAAAATTATTCGATAAAGTTTAGGGTAGATCACTCCTGGTTTGTTTTCATTACTTTAAATTTTGTAAATTTACAATAGAGTTGCATGACTAAAAACCATAATGAGCGCATAATGGACGTGATAACGCGTTTTTAATAGTGTGGAATAGTTGGGTAAGACTGCGTACTAATTTCGTCAAAATATTAATTACTTCATAAAAAAATAATTAGGCATCCAATTATGTCAAATTTAATGTTATGTTGCATTGTCTTCATGTCTTGAACCACGTGCCAACTTTGAACCGTAGCTGTCAGTCAGAAGTGCCTGAAATTTCGCTCGGGCATTTCGATCTAGACAAACTGACGAGAGACAGGCTGACGACAGACAAGACAGTGAGTTAAATAAAAGCTTGTAAAAACCTAGACTTTAGTCTAGATCTTAATTTTGTGACGATGTGGGGGAAGAGATTCAGAACGTATCAATAGCGGGTGTGGGGAAATTGCGAGACGCGAAAAGCGAAATGGCGAGACGGGAAAATGCGAGAAGGGCGCGAAAACGGTTGGCCACGTGACTTTTTTGTCTCGCAATTTACCACAACCCGATACTTACGCTGGGTGGTGTTGAAATGCGAAGATTTCTGCGAAAAATTTACCGCACCCGATTTTCAGTGGTATTTGGTCCAGACTTCAAACACGTTTTCTTTACATTGTTAAAACTTAAAACTTTCGATTTTTCCGTCGCTAGACATACTGATGATTTGTGAACTCCCCCCCCCCCCCCCCCCCCATCTTTTGTGTCGACTTAGAATACCACCTTGTTCGAAACCGACGGAAATACCGCCGACGATAGATCAACTTCTTTCTTTTGTGTGGAACGCCGAGGCCGCCTGATTTACCGTCTTTGAAGATCGCCGTGCCGCCGCAAACATATTTTGTATTGTTGCATAGAAATGTGTGACGTCACACTATAAAAAATTAATGTTAGAAAAAGAATTTTAGACGTTTTTCGCGTTTTAGAAAACTGTTTTAATAAATTGTAATAGGAATTGATTAAAATACCCCATTTTGACAGAAATTAGACAAGATTTTGGGAAAATATCGATGTTTTTTAAAAATTCAACTGCAATTTTGACGGGGGTTGTAGGCTGAGGTGTGACGTCATTTTAGTGGGGGAGGGGGGTCTGGATTTTTGTGAAAATGTGTGACGGAGGGGAGGGGGAGGGGGGTAAAGATCGTCATTTATGGATGACCCCTTTTAGCTATTAAATGGTAGTTTTGTCGATAGCGGACTTTATTCAGATTATCTACAGACGCACATTTTTTTCCTTAATGTTCATATTCGCGTTCTGTGTTAGCACAGTATAAATGGGAGTCTAATGAACTGGGTTGGATGTACTATGTGTGAAAGATGGTGTGACGAGGTGTGTTTGATTAATGCTAGGACTGTTTCAGAAGATTTTGTTTGTAAATTTTGTTTGTAATTAAAATTACTTAATAAAAAAAAAAAAATTACACTTTTTAGAATTGTTTATACTTTTACACTTTTTGCAAGTACAACAATCCATGAATACATGTTGCAGAATATCTCTCCTGCTGACAAAATTATACCAATTCACAATGACACAGATCACGTTTGTATAAACATGAGCGGGCTAGATTTTTAAATTAATGCCGACTGAGACGGGATTTTCCTCTCGCTAACGAGAGCGGGCGATGACAGTAGCACAGCAACGATGTTAGGATTTTTAAATAGATAGATCTAGATCTGTCTATCTTCTTAGTATCTATCTATCTATATAATAAAATCTAGATAAATAAATAACAACATTCAACACTCGTGTTAAAGGGTATGGCTACATGCTAGTTTATTTAAAAAAAAAAAAATTAAATAAATAAAGATGAAAAAAAGCATAAAAAAAACCCTTTTTTTTCGCAAAAAGTGTCTCGCTATTTACCCTTGATTCCGCAGGTATGTCTCGCATTATCTTCTCGCATTTTCCCGCCTCGCCATTTCGCTTTTCGCGTCTCGCAATTTCCCCACACCCATCAATAGCGCATACTTCCTTGCTTTACTTCTCCGAGCCCATCTGTTCGACAGATACGAACGAGGCGCTTTTAATAATCTTCGGTGAGTGATTCACGCACACAAGGTTCTTATGCGGTGGGTAAACCCGTGTGTGGGACGGAGTGGTCTAGCGGTAGAGAGCTGGACGTCTCGAGTTCGAATCCGGGTTCAAGTCAGTAGACCGTCTAAGAACATTGGATTGGAAACATTGATGAAACCCCACTTATATATTTTGTCAGACTTTCTTCTATTCCCGCGTCAAAGCGCGGGGGCGGGTACGCTAGTTTACTATAAACATCCAGCTTTCAAGAGTAAAATGCCACTAAATAAAAAATGTTTGGTTAATGAGTTTTGTTAGCCATTGATTGTTTAAAAAAAAATTCATAAAAAACGTTTTAATAACAAGCTTTTGTGTAATAATGCACTAATAAACCGGGAGTGATCTCCCCTAAACTTTCTCGAATATTCTTATATAAAATAACAGGGGATGGGAACTCGGGCTATAGACATGATTTTTAATCCATTTTAAATACTTAAAGTTTTAAAAATAGAATAAAATCTCGTAGACAAATTAATTGCACACCAAGTGAACGCCAAATAAAAAAGCGCATAATAGTGCGCAATATTATTAGTACTTCTAAAATTTACATTAGTTTTTTGAGAAATCGAAAGTAGCGTAAATTACTACTTCCAGTCAACGGAAATTACTCAAAATTTAACAGAAGGTAGAGAATTAGATCTTTTACTTACATGTGAAATTTCATGTATCTATCTGAAATAGTACTCAAGTTATAGGCTTTTGAAAAATTCAAAGTAGGAAAAGTACCACTTCCGGTTATCGAAAATCGTTCAAAAGTTAATACGGATCTACGATTTTGATAAAATACTTATATATGAAATTTCATCAACCTAGGTTTAACGGTACTCAAGTAATCGTGTTTACACACGGACACACACACAGACATACGGACAAGATTGCAAAATTATGTTTTTCCGTATCAGTGAGGTGTAAAACGTCGAGATTTGTAAAAATCTCGATTTTTTTTTTTTGCACGATTACAATACTTTCTCTATACTTGTACCGATTAGTTACCTTTACTAATATTTGAGAAGAGACCCACGCTTTTCTTTATAGTAATTTAAATAGTAGAGTATAATTTATTTTCTACTTTTTACTTTCTCGTATATACGAAGTATAGAGAAAGTCTTGTAATCGTGCAAAAAAAAAAAAAAATCGAGATTTTTACAAATCTCGACGTTTCACACCTCACTGATACGGAAAAACATAATTTTGCAATCTTGTCCGTATGTCTGTCTGTGTGTCTGTCTGTCCGTGTGTAAACAAGATAACTTGAGTACCGTTACAGCTAGGTTGATGAAATTTCATATATAAGTATTTAATCAAAATCGTAGATCCGTATTAACTTTTGAACGATTTTCGATAACCGGAAGTGGTACTTTTCCTACTTTGAATTTTTCAAAAGCCTATAACTTGAGTACTATTTCAGATAGATACATGAAATTTCACATGTAAGTAAAAGATTGGCGCTCACTTGGTGTGCAATTAATTTGTCTACGAGATTTTATTCTATTTTTAAAACTTTAAGTATTTAAAATGGATTAAAAATCATGTCTATAGCCCGAGTTCCCATCCCCTGTTATTTTATATAAGAATATTCGAGAAAGTTTAGGGGAGATCACTCCCGGTTTATTAGTGCATTATTACACAAAAGCTTGTTATTAAAACGTTTTTTATGAATTTTTTTTCAGTACTTTACATGTTTTATTTACAATAGAGTTACATGACTAAAAACCATTGCGCGCCTGCTGAACGTGATGGCGCAGCTATTGAACGTACCGTGATGGCGCAGCTATTGAACGTGATGACGCGTGTGGTGTGGTTGGATAGACATGCCTACTAATTCGGTCCAAATTTTAATTAATTAATAAAAAATTAATTAGGCATCCAATTAAGTCAAATTTAATTTCAGATTGCAATGTCTTCATGTTTTGACCCACGTGCCAAGTGTGAATCGTATCGGTCAAGTAGAAGTTTCCGAATTTTCACTCCTGCGTTTCGATCTAGACTGGCGACAGACAGAATGACGAGGAAGTGAGTTAAATAAAAGCTTGTAAAAACCTTATTTCCGGATCAAGCGGAAAAGTTACGTCTCTGGTTTAAAGCCGTATAGCCGCTTCGTGTACAATTCAATATTGCACCTTTAAATGAGCTTTTGACATTTTTAAAACGCTTTTTTTTTTGCGACCACCCCAAAACATCACCACTGTGGTTGTAGGTAGGCTCTTGTATCCCGGCTTTTCAGGTGGTGGAGAGAAAAAGCGTCTGGTTTTTCAAGTAGTGTGTTGATGAGGAAACGGTAGTTTTTTTAAAGAGTGACGTCTATTAATGATTTCCAAAGTGTGTGGATCCAAATTGAGTTACAAACGCATCAAATTAATGTAATTATAATGTATTTCAGAAATAAAGGGAAGTCAGGCATTAAATCAAATTTATATTTTGTTTCCAAAGGCATTCAGGCAAAAATTAAAAAAAAAATGTTTTAAATGTAATATAATGAAAAATTGCGAAAGTGAAGATGTTAAAAAAAATCATAAATTTCCACCCATAATTCTTATAAATTTAAAATAAATATATTTCCAATGAAATTCCATTAGGTCTTACAATATACTAAGTGACAAAGAAATGCAGAATTTTTCAAACGTGTTATATGAGACTCACTGAAAGCTAAGAACTTAAGTCATAAAACCAAGAAAGATCATTATAAAGTATTCCCTTTTCAATATATAAAGCTTAAATAGAATGTAATTCACAATTTAGAAATTTTAGAAACATTTTAATCATTGATCAGATACAATAGAATTGACTTGATATTTCAAAAAAAAAGCCCATTTCACGAGTTATGATCATGTTAAGACCCTCCAATGATTACAGCTGGTGCAGCAAATAACCAGTACAGAACACGTTCAATTGAAAGTTAAAAAAAACTATTTCATAACATTCAACTGTTTTCATTGAACTGATGTAAGACGTGTAGGAAATTCAATTATTTGAAACCAAACTGTTGAAAAAAGGCAAGAAGTTCATTGCTAAAAATACTCTGTAATTTAACCAAATTGTTTGACAGTGTTGTATCTTTGTGTTTCTTACTTCTATCCAAAAAAAAAAAAAAATTAAATTGTTAGAAAAGCAGAAATCTTAATTGGAAAACAATTTGTAATGCTGTCTGGTAAAAAATGACTACTTTTTAATCTATTCTAAAATCAGTTACTATGTAGATCTCTAAAAATATTCCTCTAAATACCCCAGATGACACAAACTTAATTAAAGATTGAGAGACTATAAATAGCTGGAGATGAAATGGTGATAGATCAAGATTGCTGCAGAAACTCTGAGAACATACATTGAAATTTTAAAACATTTTAGGTTATCAATTAATAACTGAAAAACTAGGAGCATTTAGATATTTTTACTTCCTTTTGGCTGGTATGGTGATTGTCCAGTCCACAAATAGGACCAGGTTAACAGTTGCAACATTTTATTTCAAATTCAAAAACTTCAGAATGGAAGCAAAATTTATATTTAAAAAAAAAATCTTTTAGTAGCTAATTAAATTGCCTAATTAAATCAAAAATAAGTGTTTAAACTATAATTTTAGACCTAAATGTAGTATATGAATATAAATTGAAAATTTGTCTATTTTTATATTTTAATTGCAAGTATGTGATTAAAACAGTTGCATTAAAAGTTGAACAGAAAGCAAATTAAAAAAAAAAACCTGGCAAAAAGTACAGATTAAAATAATTTTTGCAACAAAAATTTCCATTAAGCACTCATAGCAGTGTATCCAAGTACATGATAAAGATAAAATAATTAAAAAGTGTATTTGTGTTTTTAATGAACACTTTCATGATATGTAAATTATAATTTTACATAGTAGAAGTAGAATGCATACTTGTTGGGTTTGAACAAATTCATTATGACTTTTAACAACAATGAACATAAATTAATTTCAAAATGCTACTTAGAAAACAAATACTAAATACTATTCGCACAACAAATTAAACACGTCAGATTTTTTAAAAATCCCACATAAATATGTCAAGTCTAGAAATACTGGTAACCTTTTGTAGAAAAACGTAAGAACAAAAAGATTGCAGTAATATAAAGCAAATTTGAGAAGTGTGTCTTGGTTCTATATACCAAGTTATTGAGTTTGATGAAGCAGATATTTGAGTGATGAAGCAGATATTTGAGTACTTAGGCTAGAATTTCATAAGGGTCAACCTTTACAACAGTGTAGAGTTGAATGCTTGCAGTTTGCTACTCAGTGTTAATAAACAAGTTTTACATGTATGGAAAGAATGTTATTTCCATGATCTGATAAAACCTGTAGAGTTAAAAGGCAGGATTACGGCCCATCTCGCTTGATACCAAGTCACTATTTACTGCTGAAATGTTTTATCCATAAAATAATAATTAGGTGACACCAAAGCTAGTGATAAAATCAAGTTACACCACAGATAGTTATATAAAGCCAGAACTGATTGGATCAAAGTTTTCAATCATCAATCGTGTTGAATAGGCAGCCATATTAAATTGTATTTATTTTTTAAATTTTCCTGTAAGCTGCCTGCCTGCCAGCCTTATACAACATTTTTTGTGAAGATTACTCAAATGGCAATTTTAAAAACATTTATTCTTTTCATTCTGGTTAAATGAAAAAAAAAAGGTTTCAAAATATTTTTTTTTGCTGTGTAGCCTACTGGAAGGTGTGAAAGGGAAGAGAGCAAATCTGGAAAATAATTCTGGGGTGAAAGAGTATATTATCACACATGCTGTGAGCTTCACAGCTATCTACAACTAGTATTTTAAAGCAAAAAAATAATTAAAAAAAAAAAAAAAAAAACCAAAGTTAATCACAAAATATGACACTAATTGCAAATTTAGTGCAGGAGGTGTAATAGCATTGATAACAATAACATTGTTATCAATACATCAATCAGGATATGAGCCCTGTTTTTATTGGTTACTTACAGTCAAAGTTAAGTTTAGTGATTCAGAAGGAACATCCCTAATTACTAATGATATACATTCCTTTGTCATTAAAAAAAACTGATAATTATTAACAGCACATTGGTGTCATTACATATTTTAAAAACAGACAAATAACTGATTTTTAAACAATACAGTGAAGATTAAGCTGGGCTACAGCAGATGACATTTGTTTAGGGGAGGTCCTACACACACACACACATACAACACATATATAAAGGTAACAATTCTTTCAATTAGTTTTGATTAAAGTTTGTTTTATGTTTGTTCATTTTTTTTTCAAAATGGTACCTATGCATGCTTTATTTATTTCTGATGCTAAACACAATTTTGTAGCTGATTATTTTCCCCCTACTAAGATGCTAGCTTGATCAGCCATGACACATCAGATGAAACTTGTCTCTGTTGACTTTAGATAATCAACCATTATCAATGTTACATTTATAAGTTGGGAGCAGGCATGACACATCAGATGAAACTTGTCTCTGCTGACTTTAGATAATCAACCATTATCAATGTTACATTTATAAGTTGGGAGCAGGCATGACACATCAGATGAAACTTGTCTCTGCTGACTTTAGATAATCAACCATTATCAATGTTACATTTATAAGTTGGGAGCAGGCATGACACATCAGATGAAACTTGCCTCTGTTGACTTTAGATAATCAACCATTATCAATGTTACATTTATAAGTTGGGAGCAGGCATCAATGACATCTCATGTTCACACATTTCATGGGAAACAACTCATTCATCAGTTACTGGACAATTTAAAAAAAACAAGCTTGTGATTTCAAAGTTTTAGCTAACTAGTAGAAAGAAAAGCCAGAAAAAAGTTGAATTTATTTTAGTTTGAAAACAAAATGTGGAAGCCCCAAACAAATAATCTAGGGGTCATCCCAGCCTTTGCCAAATTTATAAACCACACATCTTAATGCAATTGATAAGAATTTTAAGACTAAGTAACATTAGTTACGATAAGCATTAACTGTCTAAAAAAATGTATCCTTTAAGAAAGACACCAAATTGAATGGGTAATGAATATGATACTTAAATAATCAAGTTTATAATTTACACAGACAGTATAACAATGGAATAAAAGCTCCTATGGCCACAAATACAGGTAGAAGCATTGCACTAGTATCATCAGCAGCATATGGATCTTTGATTTTGGGACCTGATGGTTTTCTGGATTTTTGGGGCTTTGTACTATGAGATTCTTCATCATCTTCTTCTTCATCTTCAGGCAAATCAGCTCCAGGCATGGCGGCAAGTTTGGGAACATCTTTGAATAAAATAAAAATTGCAACCACCACCACAAAATATAAGATATAAATGATACATTTATTAATTCTTTCTATTAAAAATACAATTTTAGATTTCTTAAGTAGTGTTTCCAAACTCAGAGAGACAACAAAAAAGAGTAGCATGATTTGAATTTACTAAAGTGTTTTTACATTACAGTAAGATAATCTAGCTTTCAATATATATGTAACACTAAGTATATGCCCAAAAAATGATGGTATAGTTATGTTTTAAAGAAGATATAGACATTACTAAATGCAAGATAAACATGTAAATGGAAACATTAAATCCATCTAAAATTATCTAGGCCCATATCAAATGTGTCTGAAATTTTATATAAAATTAAATAGATATGTAGAGCAGTGGAACTTCAACTGTGAATGGCAAAGGGATTTAAACATTCATCAGTGAGCACTAATATCCCTAAGTCTGATGCTTCTGAAGGAAATAATTTAAACTGGTCATGGGATGAATCATACACAGCACACAAGATATAGTCTAGCTCAGTGGAATACCCAAGAATTAATTTCACCATCCTCAACATGCAGGGTTTGATGAGATTTTCTCCTATTGTGTGAGGTTTTTTTTTGCTTGGCAATATCTAATGCAACTTCATATGCTGCTTGCACTAATGCTTTGTTTTCTTGGTGAAAACTTCTTGTTGGACAAAGTCTCTGATGTTAGCAACTAGCTTGATGCAGACGAAAGAACTCCAAATCTTTTTTGGGGCGTTCCGAATGACTAGTCTCAAAATGCCATTTTAGCTATGAAAATGAAATCTTCATAGACTCATGGCTAAGAACAACTTTGCACAGTACGCATTGTTTATTTTTTATTCCATTTTCATTGTGATGTTAGTGAAGCCAACTTTCAGATATTCTTCTAAATATATGTGTTTTTTATTTCATTGCTAGGGTTCAGTCAACCAGTTGGCGACCCCCCCCCCCCCCCCCCCCCCACAGAAAGCCCTTCACGACCCCCAGTTTGGGAACACGTGGTCTAGCTGATACTATTTTTCCCTGAGCTAATTAATATTAATATTTTTTGAAATTCTTAAGCCAAAAACTAGTAAGATATTGTTCAAGATTAGAACATTGAATGATGATCTAAATTTTGAATTTTGCAAAATGCTTGTCTAAACAAATTGTTACATTTGATAAATCAGATTTTCTATAGATTTTAAATTAAGCATTCTAGGAATAAAATGAAAAGAATAAAATATTTTCAAAATCATCAACTGCTAGTGGAACGAGCAAAGTAAGGCATAGTAAGGTTAAGTTTGCCTTGGAAACTACCATCTTAAGGATACTTACCATCTATTGTACCCTTCATAACATATATGGCATTTACTTTGGGGTTATCCATATCACCCTAAAATGGTAGAAAATAATGACATTTATTTATTTCTAGAGTACAATATAACTGCTTTCATTTATAGCTATCAAAATGGGAGACATTGGCAGACTTCAATCACCATTTCTAATATAAAGGTACCTGTTTTAGTACATAGTTTTTTCCCCCTGTAATGTATCATTCGTTAAGGCTAAAATCAACAATAAAAACCATCTAGGACCAAACATAGAAATAGATTAACTAGATTTCTTTAAAAAAAAAACATGCAGCAGTACAAAACTAAAAAACATTTTGTTTTATTTGTACCTTTATAAATTCCACTGAAATTTTATTCCCATCAACTTGAGACGTCTCTCCATTTACTCTCAGTTTTCCTCCTCTTATCGAAAAAGGAATTACTTCATCATGTGCAACACCTCTACCAACTCTTGAAAAAATGTCAAGTTCACTAACAACAGTATGTTCACCATTTAAAACAACATCAAATACCTGTCAATAAGAAAAATCAAAATAATTTTTTCATTTTTTATGTCAATAATTTTCTTATTTTTAGATTCACTGAAGTCAAATAAAGCAGGAGTGATCCCCCCTAAACTTTCTCGAGTATTCTAATATTCTTATTTTTCTCCACCTGACAAACACATGAGCCAGCATTCATATGAAACCATGTTTAGAATTGGCCTATACAGGAGTGCCTCTAATTTTTTAAGCGAATCCTGAAAATCAATCCCCAAATTTCACCAACCCTGAAACAAAAATTTGAAAATTTTAAAACCCTGAAACTTAAAGTCGCACGGAATTTTAAAATAGATAATTACTTCATTACTTTTTTTTTTATTTAGACATTTGGTTCATATTAGGTTATTTTGGAAGCTTATTTTAGAAGTACATGTAAACCCAAGTAGATCCCTTTCATTGTGATTTGCATACTTCCCGTCCTTCAACACTGCATATAATAGCCTCTAGCCTAAATTTACAAATTCATAATTTACTAGGCCTATGCTACTTTAATTATCAGAAGCCTAACTGATATCTAGATCTAAGTAGGCCTAGAAAAAAAATGTGTTACGATTATCTTTATTGTACAGTCACTGTACAACGCTTTTCCGCAAACATTAAAATCCATTACACATGTAACACATATGGTTACCAGCCAAGGGGGGATAAGTAATAAAGTTGTAATTCATTGGGTAGCGGCCCCTGTGGGACAGCAGCTTGATGTAGTTTTTTTGCATGTTCTTCGATGAGCGATTATGGGAAGTTTGTGCCTAGCTGTGTCTGAGATCCAAGGCTGCTGTCTGTGGACACGGAGGGTGACGGTACTTAGAGGTAGATCATGACAATGTAGACCTAATGAAGGTAATATTATGTTTTATATTTATGTAGTACTCATACTAGTGCTGCATGTTGCAGACTAGGGGTGGAGTATCTTCGTTAGAGTACTTTTCAGTATTATTCCTGCTAGTGCGGCATGTTGCACACTAGTTAGGTGTTAAGTATTTATTTAAGTATTTCTTATTGTGCTACTTATTGGCAGTAACATATTTTATTGCACCCGGGTATGTTTGTAGCCTACACGTGGTATTACCAGTGATGTAACCTTTTGTTTACATTTGTTTAGGGCTACAATTAATTGTCGTCGTCATCTTCTTTGGTTATTGTTTTGCTGTGATCTACTGTTGTTCTACACTGTTTTCTACTGTTGTTCTACAATGCCGTTTATGGCTCGATGTAATGTGAATAAAGCCAGTAGTTGACAAAAGTATCGTTTCAGTGTGTCCTACATCTCAGGGTCAGCCCTTATAACCACAACACCTCAGTGGGTAAAAAGCATCCCCACTGAGTGAGTGTTACACACAAATTGTAGTGTAAAATACAGGCAAAACTTCAAATTTTTAATGACTTCTGTGGCTCGTTGCTCCCTTTTTATAGCCAAATTGGGGGGTACGTAACACATTCACATTTGATTTTTATTTAATAATCTTCAAAAGCAATCGTCTAGGGTCATTATTTTCACAAAATTGTCGTTTTCCAATTGGTTGTAAAGAAACTGGTATTTAGTTGACGAAAACGTATGAAAACCACTCATGCGTGACAGAGATTGTCGATGGGGTGCTTCACATGGTTTGACACGCGTTGACATGGGCCACTGTTTCCATCGAAACCTTTTAACAAATTTTGAGTAAATTCCGTTGACAGGAAGTAGTAATTTATGCTATTTATGATTTCTCAAAAAACGCATGTGAATTATAGTACTAATAGTATTCCGCACTATTATAGTTAAACACAAATAGTTTGGGGTTTGCTTGATGTGCAATTCTTTTCTATTTTTAAAAGCTTAAGTAATTAAAAAATTGATTTAAAATATTGTCTTGATCCCGAGTTGCAGTCCCCCGTAGTGTTATATAAGAATATTTGAGAAAGTTTAGGGGAGATCACTCCTGGTTTATTAAATCACTTCTTCCAAAAAAATGGCTATGTCCAATTTTAAAAGGGGTCTGGCTATGTCCAATTTTAAAAGGGGTCATCTTAGAGTAAAATTTAGAGTAGTTTCCCTTGATAAAAATGTCTATTCGTATGTATATTGTGTTGACTTTGCTTTTTAATATACAAAGCTTTCTTGTTTAGTAAAAGTAGGACAGAGGGCCGTCTTCATATCTTTAATTTCAATTGAAATGAAGGTTATGTATGTATGTACATCCAAGATCTCAAAATCTCTTGGGAGGTCCAACATTTATTAAACCCTTTTGTACTGATTAACATGTCAATTATTTGGTCGTCCATATTCCTCATAAACGATGTTGGACTCAAAATATGGGACGGGGTAAAATTATTTTTTTTTAAATGATGAAGAATATATTCGTTTTCGATAGAAATTGTGATTAAGGGTTGGGGTATAGTAGAACTGCGATATGATATTAAATCATCATCTTGCTTTTAGAGACGATTGAGGGGAAAGGGAATTCATCGGGAAAAGTATAACGTCATTTATGCTTGATCTATTTAAGCCTAGTTTATTTTGTCTGTAGACATTAGTCTTAGGCCTACACTTTTTCTGAATTAAGATTATTGTATTTATGAAAATAGGTTTAAATTTTAATTAGTTACATTTGAATACCACATGGTTTTTTTTTCTTTGCCTTCTGCTTCCATTAGTTTTTTATTTGTTCAGTAGTCGATTTTTACCCCTCCCCACCATCCATTATTAAAAAAACAAAAAAAGCCACTGTATAGTGATATCTACCTCTAGAAAAAAAACTAGATCACCCTATAGTTTGTAGGAAAATTAGAATATATCTATAATTCGTCTGTTTAAAAAAATGCATCATTTTTCTCAACCCGGCTGTTTCATCCCCCACTAAGCACAACGTCACCAAGTTTGCAGCCCATGTGACGTCATTTGTCATTAGGCTAATGTTAAAGTAAGAGCTACCGCGTAATTAAAAAAAAAATCAAAACAAGCACTATGGCATTGAGACTTCAGCGACGTTTAGCCTGACAAATAGATCTAAATGATTTTAGTTAGGTAAAGTATATTGGACTTTAATTTATTACAGTGGCATGCTGTTCTCCCTCTACTATACAAATTCAAGTGCTTTTAATTTCTGCAACCTACTGCCCTGAGACGTTCGGCTCTAAAATGCCAGTGACACAGCGGCTTTCGTAAATGCATTTAGGCTCCCGGTCCCAACTATAAACTTCGTCTGTCCATTAAGCTCCACGCAAAACTTGTGATCAATGTGGACAGAAGCGGAGCTAGTGGTGGTGTCAACAGGGACCCCCCCCCCCTCTAAGCTCAGCTCTTAAAGGAGCTCTGCACTTCATAAAAGACAAAATTGATGTTCAGATATCAACGGACTCGGGCGTTTTGCTGAAGGCCGTATTCCTAATGCACCGTCTTAGCGGTAAAAAACGTGACGTCATTTATGATTATATCACTAATTAAAGGAAAAAAAACAAAAATATGAAAGGAAAATAGCAAACAAACAATAACAATTAACTCAAACTAATATTTAAATAAACATTAGATATGTTGGTAACTCTATAAAGATAGGGACTTTCTTAATCTTAATGTATAAAAACTGCATCTAGGCCTAATAATAATAATTCTAGAACTAATGCTTATTGTCAGTCATTTAAATTGTTTAAATGGCAGATTAAAAAAAAAAAAAAAACGCATGCTTTGTATTTAAACACAAGACAATCATATTTAATAGCTAACATCAATACATTTCCACACAAATAAAAATGAAAGGGAAATTACTCAAAATAATAATTTGTTAAGATGGCCGCTGTTTTTAATAGCAAATTTAGTATCTGGAGCAACTTTGTTAAACCTTAATTTCATGACATTTTTATAAATTTAACTAGGCATTTCGACTTCCGCTGTTTCGATTCGGTACGACCACATCCGGACTTTTTCATGGTATTTGTTGAAATTCGCCATTTTTTAACATGTTTATTCTCGCCATCGGAATCGAAGAATAAAATTTATTCGATATGAATATTTGAGTTGAATTTCATCTTTTATACATACTAATGAACGAATTAGCTCCCGTTTTACATTGTCCGATACCGAAAGCGCTCACTGATAATAGCAAATATTTGTCGAAATGCCAACGCTACCGAACTGGCGCATTGACAACTAAATTTCAGATATAAACAATCATCTAAATTGCATGAAAATAGGCCTAAATAGCATGCCAACCATTTGGATAAATAGAAATGTTGATTTCAAGGGTTTTTAAGCACGGGGCAATGAGGAGTAGCGCGATAAAACTCATAGTAATTTCATAATGGCGGCCGAGTTACGAGATATTAATAGATATGCGCATATGTTTTTTAATAGCTGTTTGTTTTTAAATGGATTGTTACAATAAAATGGGCTTTAAAATAAATATACTGTAGATCTATATCTAAATTATTAAATTAAAAATGGAAAGAATGTAATTAATTGCTGCCTAAATAAATTATAAAATTTTAAATTAGCCAGATTTTTATTAACCTTCTTAATACCAGGTTAACTAGATCTAGCAAACTAGCATTAACGAATTGCAGATAAATAGATTATAAAGGCATTTTCAAGTAGAAATAAATCTATATTTATTGCAAACAGTTTAAAAAAAATAGAATCTAGATCTAAATGGAAATGAAAACACTAAAATAATATTGGGTCTAGAGATGTGTAATATTAATATATATATAAAAAACTATTAGGCCTAAATGTAAATACTGACAGGCCTATCTAGATCTATCATCATCATCATCATCACTCCTTTATGGCCCCTGGGGAGCAAAGGGCTGCAACCACACATCTCCAGCGGACTCGGTTTTGGGCTGCTCCTCTAATCTGTGCCCATGAGAGCCCAGCTGTTTTTGCCTCTTCCTCAACCGTTCTCTTCCATGTTTTCTTTGGCCGGCCCACCCTCCTTTTCCCCTGGGGATTCCAGTCCAATGCATGTTTTGTGATGTTTTCTTTTTCTTTTCTT